TAAAGAAAAGAAAAACTCTGACCTGTAGGGTTTTTATGACCATGTGACCTTCTGTCATAAGTGCTCCCTTCCTGCCTGTCAGTGTTTGAGTGCATAGAGCCGAGCATGTGCAGCTCAGTAGACATGCTTGGCCGAAATGAAGTAACTCCCATGCATATGCATAGTAGTTACCTCATCACGGTCCAGCCGCTCACAGAGGATCGCCTGTAATGTAAGTCACCTGTAATGTGCTAACATGCTGTGCATTAGGGATTGCACCAATACTAGTATTGGTATCGGTGCCGATGCCGGGTATTTGGGTGAGTACTCGTCTAAATGCTCCGATGCCTAGCCCGATACTTCCGCTATCAGGAAACCGGGCAGCGCGTCATTACACGCTGCCCGGCTTCCTGATTGGAGCATGGAGCCGGCTTCCCGGCCAATCAGGAAGCCAGGCAGCATGCAATGACCTGCTGCCCGGCTTCCTGATTGGTCAGAAGCTGGCCAATCATGAAGCCGGGAGCCATGTAATGACGCGGCACCCAGCTTTCTGATTGGTCAGGAAGCCGGCTTCATGCTCCCTCGTCACCTCATGACGAGGGAGCATGGAGCCGGCTTCCTGGCCAATCAGGAAGCCGAGCGTCACGTCATTACACAGCGCCCGGCTTCCTGATTGGCCAGAAAGCTGACTCCATGCTTTCTCGTCACCTAGTAACAAGAAGCATGTGGATGTCTTCCCTGCTAATCAGGAAGCCGGGTGGCGAGTCTTTACATGCTGCCTGGCTTCCCAGCTAATCACGAAGCCAGGTGGCGAGTCATTACACGCCACCTGGCTTCCTCAATGGGACTTCCGGTACTCGGTATTCGGTAGCGGTGAGTATCGAAAAAAATATATTGGTACTCGTACTCGATACACAAATACCGGTATCGGTGCATACCTACTGTGCATACTAGCACATTATGGAAAACACCTCCTGGGGACCCAGTATTGCCCTGGCTATGTTGGTGGTTTACTACTGCTTTAATGACAGCATCCAAAATCATTTTAAGATACTGTCAATTTGCAAACATCACTCTGCCTAGTCTCATTTATCCTCTACTGTGGCACTGCAATATTTGAACCCAGGAGTCAAAATGCATTGTCACAGTAACTGTCAACTGTGCGCCTATTCGGTGACAGAAATACACCGCGTCTGTCATGCAAAAACTAAAAAGAAAAATGTCAGCTGACAATAAGCAGTTTTTGCAGATGGGAGAGCTAAAAAAGCATAGAAAACGTACAGCAAAAGAAAAGTCCAAACGTGCAAACAATGTTATTGATGACATTTCCGATGTGTTCCCTACAGGAAGGTGGGATAACGCTTTAACATTCGGAGATTTGGCATTCTTCCATGTCACTTCAGCAGGTCAGATCGCTTTCAGTGACATAACAGGAGGGAGAATAACAAGCTGAAAACTGACACTTATTTCTTTGAGGGATAGGTGGATAATCAAGATAATATGGCAGGAATCCTCACATGCTCAGCGAAAAGGTACGCGGTCGCCCCAGGCACTCGATGTGGAAGGAATGTTCTTGTTTATCCCAATTACTCATGGTGTCAGAGAATATCTCCGCAGTGTAAGAGCTGGGTGTACCTCGCTCTGATTGTATTTTCAAAATAAAATAAATGACTATGTTTAGGAAAACTGAGCTGGGAAAGCTGCGTGCTTCCAGACGAGGAAAAACAAGGCTGAAAAAAACACCTGCTGGGCAGAAGTGAAAGATGGACTGACTCCAGAGGAGCGCCTGTGCAACGGCATTCCAAGATGCACGCTCAGAGCCAGAGTTCTCATGCCGTCAGTGCTTGGCGTGTCTGATTTCCATTTACAAGTTATTACAGACCGGTGCAATGATCGATGTTGTCAGATACTGTTCATACTACTGCTGCTAGCAATATTACTGATAGTACTTCTGATCTATTGTGTATTATAGCTACTGCTACCGGTATTATTTCTACCATTACTGGCAATACTACTAGTGCAATTATAACTACTAGTGTTACTCTGGTCATTATTACTAATGCTAGTACAGCTATTATCAATATTACTCTACTACAAATGATGCCACTCTCATAGGCATTACTCTTACTGCCCATGTGACTGGTACCTCTCCCTACTGTCGCTACTACTACCACCAATGTTTGTGGTGCCCATTTTATTACAGCTCCTGCAGCTACTACTACCACCAATGTTTGTGGTGCCCATTTTATTACAGCTCCTGCAGCTACTACTACCACCAATGTTTGTGGTGCCCATTTTATTACAGCTCCTGCAGCTACTACTACCACCAATGTGTGTGGTGCCTCTGTTATTACAACTACTACAGCTACTACTACCACCAATGTTTGTGGTGCCTCTGTTATTACAATTACTGCAGCTACTACTACCACCAATGTTACTGGTACATCTACTGTTAAAACTACTGCAGCTACTACTACTACTGCTGCTAATGTTTGCAGTACCTCTACTATTGCAACTAATACAGCTATTACTACAAGCAATGCTATTGGTACTTCTACTATTACAGCTTCTGCAGCTATTACTACCACCAATGTTACTGGTACTTCTATTCAAATTACTGCGGCTGCTACCACCAATGTACCTGGCTCCTTTACTGAAAAAACTACTGCAGCTACTACTACCACCAACGTTTGCAGTACTTTTACTATTACAACTACTGCAGCTACTACTACCACTAATGTTACTAGTACCTCTGCTGATACAACTACAGACTCTACTAATACCATCGGTATTACTGGTACCTAAACTATTATAACTACTGCAGCTACTACTACCACCAATGTTACTATACTATTAAAACCACTGATTCTGCTACTACCAATATTGTTGATATTACTACTGTAGCTTTACTACTACTGGCTACTACAGCCATTGGTAATTGTATTGCTGTTGTTACTACTACTGCTCCTCACTACAGCTACTGTTACAATAGCAAGTATTACAACCATTTCCTATTATGGTGTTACCATAAGTATTACTAATAGTACTACTAATACTACTGCTGCTATTACTGGTACTCATAGCTGGCATTTGCTATAGGTGGTTACATAAAGCTCCATCCCGTAGGCATTCCCACCTCTTTATACTGTAGGCACAGGGTCTTTCAAGTAAGCCCTTTAGGCACCTGTGTTACTACCATTACTAGTACTACTTTGCCTACATGTGGTCTTGTTCTGATATCACCATTAGTGTTACAATTGTTAGTGCTAGTGCTCCTAGTACTACCATCATCACTTGTACCACAAATATTACTGCTGCTAAGAATGTTACCACTGGTAGTTTGTTACCATCTATATTACTAGTTCTGCTACTGTAGCTACCGCCATCATTACTACTGCTGCTAAGCCTGTTGCTAGGATTGCTACTGTTATTGCTACTAACTACTACTACTATAAAGAGGGATATTTGAAACTAATACTGCTTCTCCTGATGCTGCCCTATTATCATTACTGCTATCCCTAATGTTGTCTGCTGCTACTTCCTTAAGCTGCCCATACACCTTGCGATCATCGGACAAAACTTTTTGTCCGATGATCGAACAGTCGTACGATTTTCTTGTGGAGGCCCCATCCTGCCCTGATCATCGCAAGGTTCAATCAGCGGTGATTAAAAAAAAAACACCTGGATGAATTGCGGTAATCGGCCGCACATATTTTCATTTGTGCATGAGCAGTGTAAATCGTACAAATTTTGGCGTATGGAGATGCCACCAACCTTGCGAAAATCGTACGATTGACCGAAGTTTTCTAACCTGCTGGATAGTCAAACATTGTACGACTGTACAGTATTTGCAGTTGTACACTGCCCATCAACCTTACGAATATCAGACGAAAACGCGATCGCATACGAAAATCGTCCGATCATCGTAAGGTGTATGGGCAACTTTACATCCAGCTTCTGACAAACTGCCAGGAACTTTCTCACTGTTTAGCTTGGTAATGTCTCACTCAAATCAATCAGCTACATTCTTTTAAAATATCCAACAACCCATTGATTTGTAAGTCACAGGAAACCTGGTTTGTCCTGCCAAGGCTATCCTAAAATATCAGGAGGGCACGTGGAGGAGTAGAGGTCCTATCAAATCCTTGAACTGGAGAAAACTTGAGCTGTCGCCAAGGCAATAAATCAGATCCCTCTTTTTGTTCACAGGATGGACACAGGTTACTACATGCAACAACTCCACTCATTCTCAGATTTTTCTGCCTAATTTGCACTGATCAGAACGTAGTTACTAAGGACATTCTGCCAATGAGGTGACAGATCTATGCTAACTACTCCCCATCCTGCTAGGGTTGACCTTGGCACTGTGCCATATTTAGTACGCTACATTGTAAACTAATTTTATCAAGAATATAAAAAAAGCCAAGATGATGTGAACACCTGGCAAGATTTGAATGTCGCACTCCATTATAACAGTAGCATTTTATAGTGCAGCTGATGAGTGTCAAATATCACAGACATTTCCAGGGTCAAGCAAATCTACCAGCGGCCATCCTTTTTCAGTTTGTTCTGGAGATGAAGGCCAAACAACAGATTGGGCTAACCACATTTGCATTTTTAGAAGACATAATAAAGCAGCTTAACAGTAACAGAGGATAAAGCCAAACTTCAGCCCAAACTATTTGTTTTGTAATTATGAGCACGGTGGATAAGGTTTTGAACCTCTAGCAGGTTTTTATATCTGTGTGTGCCCCCCACTCTGGGGATGCTCCCTCACCAGGACAAAGACAGCCATAAAACTTTAAAGAACCTTTTAAAAACTGTTGTTTGGCTCTATGAATAGGCAGCTTTAAAAAAAAAAAAAGCAGCAATAAGCACTTTACAAACGTTGCAACCCTTCCCCACTCTGTCAAAAATTCGGAAAACAATATTGATTGGAGTTGGGCTTTAAGAAGGATAGTGAAATGTCAAAATAAAGTTGCCCCCCCCCCCCCCCCCCCACCCTATGCCCCATGCCTTACCTCTCTGGTGAAGAGGATGGCCGCATCGTAGTGCTGGTCATGCTCATCGTCCAGCTGGTTGTGCTGGTGCTGCCACTTGCAGAAGTTCTTCAAGGAGGAGGCAGCGTTCTTGCTGACCTCGGGTCCCTTGTCCTTGTCGGTGATCATCACCACCTTCACCACTGCCAAGCGGATGTGGTTCTCAATGCTTGGGTGGCTGTAGAGCCGGGAAGCGATGGATGCCAAGGTCAGCAGATAGTGGTGGAGGTCCTTCCCGTACTTCTTGGACATGGACTCATCGGCGACCAGAAGGAGCTCCACGTACCTGGACTTGGAGATGGACCTCCTCCGTCTGTTCCTCACCAGCGCCACATCAGAGGTCTGGTTGGCTCCAGTTGGGCTCCACCACCTGTGCTTCCTGAAAATGCCATTGCCTCCGTGCCTGTGGGCATGCTTGCCGTGGGTTTCGCAGCTGGCCCTGCTGGGTACCATCTCGAAGCTGAAGCGATCCTTGATGAAGACGTGCAGCACTCTCTCGGAGGCATCGCTGTACACCTGCCCCACGCCAGCCTGTCCCTTGATCAAGGGCTTGATGGTGTAATGGGCATGCTTGACCGCAAAGAAGCCGTCCAGTCCTCCGCACAGGTTGAAGACAGCCAGGGACTGGGGACTGTTGTCCACACTCCCCCTGTAGAAGCAATGCTTGTGGAAGCGATGCTGAGGATGCATGCGTCCCAGGTACCTGGTGCTGAAGTGAGGGGACAGCAGCAGATCGTCCCTCTCCAAGTCCAAGATGAACTTCTTGCCGTCGGCATAGAGGATGTAGCCCAACTTGCCCCCAGCAGCATAGATCTGGTCAATGTTCTGCACGATGCCGCTCCTCCTCTGATGCTCCTGGTGATGCTTAGGAGAAGCAGGTGGATCCCCCAAGCCGGAGTCTGCGGTCCTATTGGAAAAAGCAGCAGCAAAGTGCAACTCAGCAACCAGCAAGACCAGCAGGATCAGCACCATTGTCCCCCCCCTCCCTCTTTCCTTCCTTTAGCAAGGGGGAAAAAAAACTAGGCTGGGATGAATCACTAAAATGCCAACAGAAGCTCAGACCGGTTTAAAGTTTCTTTGCGCAGCAGCTAAGGTGACTTGCTTCCTTCTCCAGCGCAGAGATCCATTGACTGAACGGAGACAGATGACAGGAGGGATCAGCAGCAACACAGTTGTGGCTTGCAGGATGCTTTAACTCCTTGAGCTCAGGCACTTGGCTGCCAGTCGTCCTCTTTGTTGGGATGGAGCTGAGCCGGCTTGCTTCTGGCACCTGGACTCAGCTCTCTCTCCTCCTCAGCCCTCCACACAAGTGTCTGGGAGTTCTCCTCTCCAGCTTGTGGATGTGAGCAAGAAGAGAAAAGAGAGATGTGAAGATGGGGAGGAGGAACAATGAATTTATACCGGAATGCCATTTTAAAATGGGAGTCACTGCCTCTTAAAGGGAGAGCTCTCAGAATACCACTCCCTCCCCTCTTGCAATAATCACTCGCAGGGAAAGTGTGTGTGGATGTTTTTGGGAGAAGAAAAAAAAAGAGAGAGAGAGAGCACCAGCCTTTCCTTTCATTCTAGTCTGGGGTGTTTCACAACTGTCCTGACTAACAGCTGACTTCACCAGCTACTGAACATTTCATAGAAGGTTCATGTCCTGTCCTGGAAACTGGCATGTTTACTGGGGACAGGGAGTTTGAGAAATCCTTAAAAAATGACACCTGGGGATCATTACATTGTGCAATGCTGATGGGGATGTGGAATAGTCTGAGGGGTGTCACAGGGACATTGCACCAGCAGGTCAAGAAGATGGGATTGCCTGATTCACCTTGTGATTCATTAAAGGGAAATTCCACCTTTTGCAAAAAAAAAACAAATACACATAAAGGAAAAAAAAATGTCTATTTATAGCTTTTTGCAAAAGGACCAGAAAAGTGTGGGCAACACAATCAGTAGGTTGTGGGTGTAATGCTCTGGCTCCTGCAGACTCTTGATCCTGTCCATGTTGGTACTGAGGTACGGAGATGCAGTAACATGGATGGGAGGAAGCCTCAGTGGATTTACAAGTGTCCTGATATCACTGCACTTGTATTCCAATAAGAGTTAAAGTGCCTGTGACACGGTGGCTGATGGGCAGGCTGCAAGGAGAAGAACCCCATGATTTGGGTGAGTGAGGGGAGCGGGCGGGTGGTGGTGGTAGTGGGGGGGAAGGGGGGGGGAGGTTGCAAGCTCAAAATGTTACACGCTAAACATGGGTGTGACATGAAACAAGGTCAGAAAGGTAAACATTTTAAAGCTGCCTTTCTAACCAGGGTTCCTTAGAACCCTTAGATTCCTCATACCCTAAGATTCCTCATACCCTAAGATTGCTTAGAACTCTTAGATTCCCCATACCCTAAGATTCCTTGGAACCCTTAGATTCCTCATACCCTAAGATTCCTTAGAACCCTTAGATTCCTCATACCCTAAAATTCCATAGAACCCTCAGATTCCTCGTACCCTAAGATTCCATAGAACCCTCAGATTCCTCATACCCTTAGATTCCTCATACCCTAAGATTCTCTAGAACCCTCAGATTCCTCATATCCTAAGATTCCTTAGAACCCTTAGATTCCTCATACCCTAAGATTCCTCATACCCTAAGATTCCTTAGAACCCTTAGATTCCTCATACCCTAGGGTTCCTCCTGTGGTTGCTTGGAAGTCCTTGAACATTGAGCAGATTGATCTTCTACCAACACTAACCACCAATGCAAAGGGGGGGGAGGGGGCAATATTCCACTAGCTACCAGTGTAGAGGGCAATATTCCACTAACCACCAATGTAGGGGATTGATTCTACACTGACCGCTAATGTTACATGACCCCACAATTTTTACTGTCTTTCTTTTTGTTGTTGTTACTGTTCATTTCATTTTAAGATTCTTGCAAAGGGGGTAATACAAGATCCGTCCTGAGAGTCCATTACAAAAAGTATGCTAAATTGTTTATTATTGTATTTAAACCTTTCATTCTACGACATAGTGTTCATGCTAATGTTCCATGAGCTGTAAGTATAATAAGGGGGTCTCTGAGACCTGGAAATTATTTTGTGGGTTCACACAAAGTTGATTTATATCCTTTGTGGCTACTGAGTATTATAATTAAATGAAAGTGTTTGTGCACAGAGTTATGCTTTAACTGTCACTGAAACAGAAATTAAAGGGAACATCTTCGAAAAGGGACAGTTATTATAATGACAACTGTTTAAGAGAATGTTAACTCCTCTCATTTCTGTTGTGTCTGGAAACAGGAATTGAAGGGAAATGTACCCAATGGGATACAGTGTGTATCTGGAGATAGGAAGTGAAGAGAAATGTACCCAATGGGACACAGCCAATGGTGTAACAATCGCCAGAGCGACCCAGGCGGCCACTATGGGGCCTTGGCACAGGGGGGCCCGGCCAGGACATCCCTCTGATGCAGTGCAGGCCGCCTGGGTCGCTATGGCATCTCAGGCTGCTGGCTTTCACTGGCGGGTGTGAGGAGGAACGTGACGCTGTTAGATCACCGTCAACCTCTTAGCGATCTGTGCAGCGGCGCATTCCTCCTCACAGCTGCTGCTGAGTCAGTGACAGCCAGCAGAGGAGGAGACTGGGCCCGGTGTCAGAAGCGGGGCCCGGCGACTGAGGACGCGGGACCTGCCAGCAACCATGGAGGCAGACAGCGGACCGGTGCTGACAGGTAAGAGGTGTGCAGTACACCTGAGACCCTGCAGCGCCCACCATAGTGAATCTATGGTGGGCTCTGCAGGGTCACTCTCAGGTGGGCTGTTTGGGATATCAAGTGGGCTCTGCAAGGGCATAACTAGAAATCACAGGGCCACATACAAAATTTTGCTATGGGGCCCTGTGATTTCTATTTACGCCCCTGGGCACAGCATATCTGGAGACAGGAAGTGAAAGGAAATCTACCCAGTGGGACACAGCATGTATCTGGAGACAGGAAGTAAAGGAAATCTACCCAATGAAACACAGAATGTATCTGGAGACAGGAAGTGAAAGGAAATCTACCCAATGAGACAGAGAATGTATCTGGAGACAGGAAGTGAAAGGAAATCTACTCAATGAGACACAGAATTAATCTGGAGACAGGAAGTAAAGGGAAATCTACACAAATGGACAGTGAAAAAAAAAAAAAAACTTATCAGGGGTTTTAACCATTCCATATTCTATCCAAAACTAGAAAAAAAAGATTTGATTTTAGATAGACTTTAATTACGCTGGACAGGCTGGCGAATGTATATTTTCACTGAGCAGACCTGTGTTATATCAGGGCTGTCTTAGGAAAACTGGAGTGGAAGTGTTACTTAGATTCCTTGTTTGGTTTGAATGATTAAACTTGACTGCTTGCCATAGAAAAAGCATTGGTATCCCTGCTCCAGTTTTGATCAATTAACACATGCAGGGTTGATTCATGAAAGATGATTAAAAAGTGGATCTGTTGCCTGTAGAAACCAGACGTCCCATTTTATTTCAAAGCAAACTCTAGTTGCAATAGGCAACAGCTCCACATCACATTTGTTTTTTGTTTTTTTGCTCAGATTGGTTGCTATGGGCAACAGCTCCAGTTTTGCGCCAACACAGCTAGAATAGATGAGAACATATACTGTATCTCGCCAGTACACCATGGATCCATAGTCAATACTCCAAAGGTTTATTAAAGCTGAACTTTGGGGAAAACCCCAACACCATTGCAGCAGGGCTCCCCCTGCACTGGGGGTTAAATGCTTATTTATGCCTAGGGTACTAGGAAGTAGGACTTTTAGGACCCATTCTCACCATAGCATTGCGCTAAACTTGTTTGAACCGTGCGTTTAGTGCAGTTCTAATACTATGCCTGATGAAGGGACCCTGCGTGGTTCCAAAACATCATATTATATATTATATGTTATTACATGATGATGCAAAGTCAAAAAGGTTTTTTTGATGAAGATCCTTGGTGTGCTGGTGAAATATTCTATATATCTTATATATATTCACCAATTGCAGAATTACTTCAGCACCTATTCAACCAGGGGAATGCCGGTCAGGACTGTGGTGGGATATCCATTCAATTTAGGACAATGCTATTGCACAGTGCATGATGACGCACGCTTAGTCATCATGCAATGGCCTCACCTCCTAGCATGTTACCATAATAATGTGCACTGCGTTGGCGTGTGTTGATAAATAGTGTATGCATTGCTTTTTTTCACTGCATGGTAACACATGCCCACCATGAGGTGCGTTGGGGTGTCTTTGAGAATGAATGGTAACGCAGCGCACCTAGCATCCAGTACTGTGCGCTGTGCAATAGCATGCATGGATTCCGCCCATTTAATGCAACACTATTTTGTAAATGGACTCTTACCTGAACCCTTGTCCCCCTGGTAGTGGGAGCTCAACTCTTCTCTCTGAAGGGTCCCTCAGCATCTTTACATAAACGCAGGCATAATGAAACTGCATTGTATGTGATGATGTCAGAGTGTGACGGCTGGAGCGTTGAGGAGAAGAGGCTGTGGGACCCGGTCTTATATAGCGTGGTAGGAGCATACAGTACCAAGGGATTAGGTACGTGAAATGCCTTGTTCCTGGTAGCCTCAGCATAAACAAGTATGAAACCTGTGCAGTGCAGGGGGGAGCACCACTGTGAGGGATTTTTTTTGTTTTCCACGGAGTTCAGCTTAAAAGCGATCACGGTAAGTGTGATTGTAACATTTCAAAGCCATGTAGGATACCTTCGTCGGGTATGTGTTGGCGAAGTCAGTCACATGCCTGACAAAGACGTTGTGGTTGGCTTGTACTTGCAATCCGCCCCCAGGCCACACTTGTGCAAATGCGTGTGAGCGTGTATGCGAATTTGCAGGTATAGAGCAGCCCATTCCTTTTAATGGGCTACCCTATGCATGACAATCGCACTTCAAATGCCCCTGCAGCTTTTTTCCAAAATGCGCCAAAAGGCGTTG